TCGCTATTAGGTTGGAGGCCATTGCTGGTACAAGTAGGTTGGAGGCCTTCCCTAGTGGTTGCAGGCCATCGCTAGTAGGTTGGAGGCGATCGCTATCAGGATGGAGGCCATCGCAAGTAGGTTGGAGGCCATCGCCAGTAGGTTGGAGGCAATCGCTAGTAGGATGGAGGCCATCGCAAGTAGGTTGGAGGCCATCGCTATTAGGATGGAGGCAATCGCTAGTAGGATGGAGGCCATCGCTAGTAGGTTGGAGGCCATCGCTATTAGGTTGGAGGCCATCGCTAGTAGGTTGGAGGCCATCGCTAGTAGTATCAGCATGACAGAATCCCTGCATCTCTATCAGTCTGTCCCAATACACTCAATACACAAGTAGTCAATTTAAGTCAATCATGTGACATCATGTGCGAAACCTTGGCTTTGGGGTCAGGCATTCATGTGCTCCACAAGGTCTTGCTCCGAGCCTTGGTGGAGTGCAAAGCTCCGAAATCCGTCCGAGTTCCCTCGTGGAGTGAATCGTAACGACTCGTCCCGAGGACCCTCGGCACCCGAGCGTTTGGAACCGCGAGATGCTCGACTCTCAACCTGATCAATCTTTTTCAGCGCCCTCATAAAATGCTGCTTAGCATTCTGCTTTACTGCTTTAGTTGTCCTAGATTCTTCGTGTGTGTGCTTTTATCAAGTTTGCCTCCCAATTTGGTCAGCCTCATCCAGCTGTTTAGCCACACGTTGTTGCAGAGCTTCAAAGCTGCTGGACATGCGCTCCTTCTCCTGGGCATGACTCGCATGACAAAAAACTCTCATGTTCCTGCCGATGTTCACGCCATGTTTTGGCAATTGTGTAGTACCAAAAAAAATCAAGGAACAAGAGCAAGGAAGAGCTGCTTAAAAAGCTAATGCCTGAGCCAAATATATACCGTGCTTGTATATTTATATATACATATATATGTATAGAAGCTTGTGACTAGCTTTTTGTTCCTTCCCACATCTCTCTGGGCCAGTGCACCTCATCCATCTGCGACTGCAGCTTCGCTTGTAGGGATCCTCCTTGCGACTCGACTCGTTGGCAAGCAGCCTGAGCATCAGCTTGGAATCAAGAAAAATATAGAGCTTGAACTGTGACAAACCCAACAAAATGCAAAACCATGCAAAACCTAAAGCATGTCAAGATTCTGCAAGCAACCAGTAACAGCATGTGGTCTACAGCGATTTTCGAAACGTGCTCAACTTTTCGCCTCGGTGGATGCCAATTTCTGTGACAATTTCTGCTGCAACTCGCTGACATGGCGGAACTTCTGTGCCTTGCACACGGAACTTGGTGCTGTCGTGAAGTCAAAAAGGACCAAACTTAGCCAACTGAGGCTGAAATCTCTCAGCAGCTTCGAAGCTTGCCATCTGAAGCAACCCTTTGTATACTACAGTAGATTTGAGTCAAGCACAACTCAAACTCACGATGGCCTGCTCCTCAAGTTGCTGAGCCGTCTGAGATTCCATGAAGTCCACCTTGCCACCAGTCTCTGGGTGTTGCTTCCCTCAAAAGGGCTAGCAAATAGCCAAGTGAATCATGACAATCATGCCTGGAACTCACGAAACAATCAATTTGGGGACTCTGGGGACCTCTATGAAATGCATTGAAATGCTGTGGAGACGTGTTCTCGTGCCTTGGATTCCAAGGCAGCTGACTTCGAGAGCTTTGCTTCAATGGTGGTGAGCCGTGTCCGCTGCACCTGCCAGTTGGCAAAGGTGGTGTGTCTCCGGTGAACAATAGCACAGCAGTGCAGCCGCTGCACCTCTTTCTCGTAGTTGCAAGCATTGATCCTGAAGTGTTGTCCGCACTGTGTATATAATTTCAATCTCCAACAAATGTCCACCACAAAAAAAATAACTTTGCATCCAAGCGTCTCATCCTGTAGTTCTCTAATTGGTGCAGCCTGCTTGATGGTCAGAGTTGTTGTATGTGTAAGTTGTAAGTTGTAAACAGAATGCTGTTGGATTCCGCTGACCATACGTTTGATTCCACCACCACACACCTGGTGGCTTGCAACGTCAAACTGCCTCTGCCAACCTTTTGAAGACTGCCTCAATATCTCCTTTGTCCTGAGCAAATACAATGCACTGGTAGCAAAGGCAGGCAATGCTTGTGAAACGATTCACTGGTCGTCTTGAGAGCATAGCACTTTGCCCTTCCCAAACTATCTTTTCCAGCCTTGAGCCACAAGAAAGGTTTGTGAACTCAATCCGAATACAATCACACAGTCATGATTACACCTCTTGAGCCAGCTCAACAAAGTGTCCACACAAGTGAACCTGCAAACATGCGATTCTCATCTGTGCACCCGGCACTTCACACCGACGATTGATAGCCTGCACAACGACCAGTATTAGAAGGAACCAGGAAAGCAAAAAGAACGATCGCAAAGAGGGAATCGCTCATCCACCGCCTGCAAGAATTCATCGTTGGAGGTTTGAAGTTGAAGTCGGCAATCGCTCATGCGCTTCTCCTTGGTGAAGTCAAATCGCAAAGGTTGTCTCAGCTATCCAGACTGCCACACATCAACTTGGCTCCACAAACTTGGCTCAAAAGTGGCGTAATCCAAGTGCACATTCGGTGTAACAGCACCGAATGAATTGGAGCTAAAGCCCGGCCTGAGTGGCCAAACGCTCCTCAAAGCGCTGCATCTGAGCTCTTTCCACCTTCACACAGCGGACAGCGGACAGGTTTGAGGCATCAAGCGGCCCTGCCAAGCGGCCCTGCCAAGCGTCCTTGCTCCTAGTAGCGATGCCCTTTGTTGCTAGTAGCTGTTTGTTACTAGTAGTAATGCCAGGAGCTACTAGTAGCGGTAGACATCTTCTTCAAACGCACGATCCAATGCCCCTGTTATTGACACTCACTCCCAATCCGAAAGGCCGGTGCTGAGAGGAATAGGCGTGCCATGAAATGCATGTGACGGCTACATGTTTGACCAGCAAACCATGAATGTGCGGCGGTCGTACAAGAACTTGATGTCAATTAATGACCAACTTGACATACTAGAACAAGAAGCTACTAGGAGCAAGGACGCTACTAGGAACAAAGGGCATCGCTACTAGGAGCAAGGACGCTACTAGGGGCTCCTGGCCTTACTACTAGGAGCAAGAACGCTACTAGTAGCTCCTG